TTTTGTATGCAGTTTTGGTAATTTATGCTCGTGGAATAGACTGTTCTGTTCTGCTCTGTTCTGCCCTGTTTGTTTTCCCCGCAAAAACGCCGACAGTTTCAACCAAATCTGCTCCCAACCTTCAACCCCCACCCCCAAATAATGTGAATCGATTCGCTTCAGGTCACTCGTTCAGTTGCCTTTTGATGTTCATTGTACCCTGGTGATTACGCTTTTGGAACCACTACCTTCCGGCCAAGTCAATTTCGTTCGTTTGTATCCCTGTCATCGCCTGAGTTAGGGCATTGTGCAAGCCTCGTATTCGGCCGGTGAACAGACGTGTTCGGGCTCCGCCAGTGAAATGCAAATGAACTAATGAATAATAACTAAACAACTACAACATCAAGGACAAAAATAAAACCGGACGAAACCACATTGTGGTTTAGACTTGATTGGTTGTGTTGGAAAAACTGTTCGTTGTTTTTTTTGTTCAGAATTCGGGCGCCACTGAGCTGACCACGCATCCGAAGTACACACTTTGAGTGGAATTACCAGCAGACCCGAACGAAACACACTAACGGGCATACAGAACTGGGGAGAAGTAACGTATGCGGGTGTGGAAGCGGACTGGGAGGACGGGGAGAGGGGACGGCGGAAGCAAATACCCAGTACGATCATTAGGACATTTCTTCAGCCACATTCAGAACGTAACCGACACATATGCAAGTTTCTGAGTTTAGTGTGTGTGTGTGCCACAGACTCAGGCTCACGTAGCCGCCGCCACCGCCACCACCAGCAGCAGCAGTAGCAGCAGTTGTTGTTTGGCTACAGTACCAATTTCCGTGACGAAACACTCACAGACGTACAACAAGTTGTGAAAGAACCATGTCCTGCCGGCGTGCCGCGGGTCGCACTGTGTATTTGTTTGTTTTGTTTGTGGAAATGAATCGAAGACAAGAACTAGAGGCAAAACTAAATTCAAAACACCACGGTGTTTATTTTTCCCCAAACTGAGCACTTTTTTTCTCTCAACTGGATGGGTTGGCCTAGACACACACACACACACACGTGCAACCCCGGGACCTGGGAAGCTCAGTTACAACCGCATTCGCACGTATGCATTTCCGGTTGTCGTGGCAACTGAACAGGAGCAACACAGTGATAAGGTTTTGAATAGGGGGGCGGGAGGCAGGTCGACCAGCAAACTGCTGCAAGCCTGCCTACCTGCCTGGGTGACTGATTGACTGACTGATAGGTTGGTTATTTGACTGATTGACTGAACGACTGGTTGGCTGACTGAGTGAACGAGCGAGCGAGCGAGCGAGCTATGGAACTGTTGGATGGCCGGTTGTTTGGGCATGAATCCCAGAGTTTCCTAAATACCACTTGAGAATGCATAGACTCATTGTAACGACAGTGTACTCGTAAGCGGTACTGGAGCACCAAATGACACACTTAAAGCTTCCGTCCCCTCGTAACCAAATGAGTGGGTAATCAAACAAGTGAGCGTCTATAATACATCTCTCTATCTATGGAGCTGACTGACTGCAAAGGGAGTGGTATATTATGGATGTATTTGGTTCAGTACTTTTTGGAAAGCGCACTTTAATATTGAAATCAGATGGACAATGAATTGTAGGTACTTGGTATTTGATTTACACTAACCTGGAATGGATTATTCAAAGCATGGAAGTGGGATAAAGAATAAAGGTACACAAGTGTAGTAAGCTGCTGAATAGCCTCCCCTCCCCCTTCTCGCCCTCGTCAGTTTCCATGTGTTTTCGTTACTTAAATAAAAACCCTAGTAGTAGACCGATTGGGATAGCTTGAGAGGTGCTCATTGCATGACACAACCAAGAGCTACACAGGTTAAAATGAGACGAATTTCCGGTATCCTTCACGCTCCCCTCTCCTCCCAAGCCTCAGTGACAGAATATTCTTCCCCGGAGTCGTGGGGAGGGGGAGGAGATACTTTTTCTGCCTAAAAATATTTCTTCTGTTGTATATTAGTTGTGTCTCTGAAAGAAAGTCATCTCAGTGAATATTTCTTAATTTGCGCTCAATGAACAGAGTATTGAGAGAGAGAGAGAGAAAGAGAGTGGTTTCGATTCGAATCAATCGCGCGGCGGGGGAAATTGTGTGTTGATGATGTGTGCTTGAGAAACAATTTCGTCATTCATAGCGACTGTCACGATACTGGCTTGTAAACCACCTGTGAAGTGCTACAAAATAATCAGAGAAAAACCAGTGATCTGCAAACCATGTAAATATTCAATTCAACTAGCATCAATGTATCCTCCTTCTCAACGATTTCTTATTGGTTTATGAAGAACAAGTGTGTCATACTGTTTCATCTGGTCTACCTGTTGTCGTCGTACAGATTTTTCTAGTTGTCCAGTAATTCGACAGAGAGAGAGAGAGTGGGGAGCAACTTGATAGAAGGTGTGTACAATAAGCTGGTAACTGAAAGCCGAGGGAGTAGTGGATTAGCGGAGGCCAACTGACCGTACCCACTATGATATGGAGTTATGCCAAGCGATTGCATTTTTTATTCCGTAGTAAAACTATACTCACCCGAAACGGAATATAATAACTACTATACAGCATCTTTTGCTAGTCATTGTAAGGATTTACTCCGCACATCCGGAAGGAGAACTTCAAAGTTTTTGGTCAGATTTCAAAGTCACAGTTGTTTACACGGTCGACGGGCATCACTTTGTACGAACAGCTCTATCAATTTTACGATAGAAAGCTTGGATTGTTAAGACACACAGGGTGGTGACCGTCGACCGTGTAGCTCAGGGGTACGGAGTTGAAGCCCTGACTCGGATTTTTGCGGTTCGAATCCGGACGGGACAATAATAAAGTACGCACTACTGACGAGTCCCAAACAGGACGACTCAGTTGTTCAGTGCTCTTTATTGATTATCAAAAACATTTCTATCGCATGTAAATGCATGAAATTGTGGAAAATCAACAATCTTCCAAGCCTATCAAGAGTGCCTAGTGCCTCGTAACAATCGAATGGGCTAATCCAAGCTTACTACTGTAAAATCACCGTTAGTTAATGAAAAAAATAGTTAGAGCTCATATCACGTTGCGCAATTCCAACGTGTTACGTGCAGTCATTCTCCATGAGATAACTATCCAAAACAGTGGGAAAAAGTATAAAAATCAATGCAGCATAATACTGTTCATGTGAACTAGAGGAGGATTGTGTTATTCAATTAAGAAAGTGCATTCACAAGAAATATGCGGATTAAAGGTAATGCATGTGTTTACAGTGATGAAACTTTGGTCGAATGGGAATACCTATGCATCCAAGGAGGAAGGGGATTCACTGCTATCGGCTTGAGCCACCAGGTTGCGAATTCGTCCAGATCCAAGAAATTTATTGTATAGTTCGTCTGATGTGCATCTCTCGTGCCTAGCTAGTGTAACTAAGAGTTTGTTCGATTTTCACTCCCCTAGCAACACATTGATCATGTTTCTCAATTGGCTATCTCAACTTTACTGAGGTTATTTTTATTCCATGATATGATGCAGCTAACAGTTCTAAATGATGTATTTATGAAATGAGTTCCTTCTGGGGTTGAAATGACTTTCAAAAAATTACTATTGTGAGGGGTGAGTGGTTTCCCGTGAAAGAGGTGTTTCCCCACCGAAGTGGTTGAACGAAAAGTCAATATCCCGGGGCTAGGACCGGGTTGATGAACCACTGGCAGTTCACCTAGGCTAGTCAGCTAAAAGCTTTGATTCCAAGCTAACTAAATAGAGGCGCACGAACTAGGCATACACACCCATACCTTCCTGGTTTTGGTAGTGGTCACCGGCTCGATTGGGTATCGAGGAGTATGGGGCAGTTTGGACGTTCGATTGTGTCGAATGGGCGCATGATCTGGTGAACTGAACACCTGCCCTAATGAATTACGGTTTGCACACACCGCCCCACTACCTTGTATGTCAGGCTTTGGTTAACCGAAGGCTCCGGTTGTGAACTCCATAAGAATATTAACCTGCAGTAACCTAGCAGCATGGAGCCGTGGAGCAAATTGATGGAGCGCTTTATTTTTGGGAAGGTTATTGCACCGTTATTTGTTTGGCACATAGTTTAAACTCAGGCGTGTGTAAAAATATCAAAATATATTGAATTGATTGGCACTTACGTTTGACATAGATACTGATGCTTGTCTGGTGAGCGCTGCCCACAGGATGCCCGGTTTCACAGACCAACTTGGCCGCATGATATCGACGAGTGATGCGGGGAATCACCAGGGTGTTAACCAATTGATCTTTATCTTTATTCAGTGTGTAATGCAGCGGTTGTACATCTTCCGATATCGGAGCCAGCGTGTGATATGTTCCGGTGGTGGTGGCTGTCTTCTCGCCAACCATACCGCTTGGTGATCCAGCCGCATCCAGTGTGTGCAAGTAGGCTTCCACGGAACTGTAATCACTTAGTCGGGCACCACCTCGTCCCCCGATTCCACTCACTTGGCCTATACTGGGATCGTCCACTTGGATTGGATGTAGAAGCCAGCGCCAAAATAATCCACCCAGTGGATTGCCCGGTGGGGATGCCACACAGATGGCTTTCAGTTCTTCTCCTTCCAAGTAAACGTGATCCGTTTCCGGGCTGATTATTCGCGGTGGTCCAGGTGGAGCTGATTTCGGGGATAATCGGATTTGGACAATAGATACAGGTTATCCAAATATCCAGATACAAGTGTTCATAAACTTAATCCCGGAAAATTTATTGTTCATGGCTCAACATGGCCAAATTTTAATACGATAGGATGGAATTTTATTGTGTCTCGTCACAAATGAAGCTACTTGATCACCAGAACGGTTTCGACACAAAAATAAAACTATCCCAACCATGCGAACTCCGACACAGATTTTAAGTTCGTTTTCTGTTGAATAATGTAAGTATCATTTTGCATTTTGTGCTCTACGATCGAGAGGCATGAATGTAATGTTTGTGAGCATAACTAAGTGAGAATTACGCCATACCCTCTCTCCAAGCCGTTCAACAAACTGTCTGAAGCGGATGGAGTAAAAATGCTTGACCACAGGATCTCGCGATGTTGCAATCCACCCTGGCGGTACGGGTTAAGCACGTTACTGCACTAAGCATGGCCACATGTAAGTACTACAGAGTTGAATTTGATCAAACGCTGAAGTTCGCCTTATATGGCGCAAAAGATGTGTGAGTTGGAAATAGGTAGGACGCAGTGCACAACTGTCTCGACCTGGTTGGACGGATCTCCGGAATCGCGCATTCTAACCGCTTGATCACCCAGTATCTGATAGGTTGTTTCACTTTTTCCACACGTAATATAGCACAACCCAAGTGTTGCAGGCTTTCTCTGCAAGCATTCCACGTTGGTTATCTGTTTGTCTGCGCAGTCTCCGCAGTTCTGACTCGAGTGCCAGTACTTTCCGGAGGTGTCTACTTATTCTGAGGGACACCAAATGAGCTCAAAACAATGGTGCAATGGTACTTCATTGTTTTTCTGTTTGTATATTTTTCTGTTCTATGTCTACGATAAACTTGGTCCCTACTCATGAAAAATATTATGTTTTATAATAATTTGGGTAGCAGTGATCGATTTGTAAAGTGATACCAAGACACACCAAGGGTAATGAGTTAATGGTTACACCAAGGGAACTAAATGTTTGCTTTTGGATAGTGAACGTAAATCAATTTCTTTTTTTCACCCAAATCAAGTATTTTGATCCGTTTTCTCGGTAATTATCAATCGATAAAATAGTCTTTTAAAGACTAATTCTTGTGAACTGCGAGAATATGAAACAGAACGGCTTTAGTATGCAATTCATGTAGTTTCTCGAATAACCCCCACCTCCCAGATCCACGGGGTTCTGCTGAATTGAAAATCGGATCATAATATATTCTTTTTTTGTATTCCAAACACATGATTATTAACTCCTCTTGCACCCGGAGAACTTTGTCGATCAAAATGTAGTGATTAATCTCTGCTGTTTTCGGTCTCTCTGTCACGAGTATGAAGCGAACCGGGTATTTTTACTCATAAACTTAACAAATGCAAAAAGCACACATTTTCTTGTTCTGATCAAACGTACTGTGCACTCGAATTGTGACGTGGGTTGTGAGATTGCGTTGATGTGGATCGTGATGCAGCTGAGTTGCGGCATTTGTCACACTGCACATCAGCTGATCGCCATCTTTCAGACCCGATTTCAACAAAGTGAGTCGAGATTGACCGGTTTCCGACTGTGTTTCTATGACCGGATCCAGTTTGATCCAAGGATCTGTGCACAGGAGGTTGAAAAATCGACCGAATTTAGCAATTGATTGCACAAATCACACACTTGTTGAACATAATTCTTTTAACTCTTTTCCAGCACAATGCTTTATGTGTATTTAACTTTCTGGATGAAAATAAAATGTGCAAGTGTCAACCCAGCTCAAAACACGGTTGATCAAAAAGGATAAATGAAAAATATCATTTGATAAACAACTTAATAAGGCTTTGTAAAAACCTCTCATATCTAAACAATTACAAACAGTAATACTGTCTAACCTCCAACATTTTTGCATCTTTTTAATCACGCATCTCCTGATGAATTGTAGACACCAGTGAATTCACAATCTCGAGGATTGACAATCCCGATATTCCGGTCAGTGCCTGGAAATTGCAGCACGGAATCGCATCAAGCATCATTGGGATATTGGACATATTCATTCGAATGATTGGCAAGCTCTTTACCTGGTCAATGTAATGGCTGTGATAGCAAACAGAGAACCTCAAAAGTTATGACANTGGAGCACGCTGATGAGAAGAGACCTATTGGTCAACCACAACATGTTCTTTACTGTCGCCAAAATCAATCTCTCACAAGAAATAAATAAACACCTACCTGCATATATATATATATATATATATAAGTAGTATATGAATGATTAGACGAGAGTTCTCTGGAAGCACACGACCGGTTTCGCTGTTCTTGTCTCTCATCAAATATTCCCGGATACGCATGTCTGACGAGCGGCAAGGACAGCAAACCCGGTCTTATGCTTCCAGGGAAATTTCGTCTAGTCATTCACATACTACCTATTAGGAAATTTGTATATAATATTATCCCTGCTCTACCGTTACCAATTTTTGCTTTTGTTCTCCGGAACCTGCCTCGACAGATCCACTTCCTGCAAATTTCATCCGCTTATCCCGTACGCAGGCATCTAATCAACTCTATCTGATTTCAGTTCCTAGATGTTGCACTTCTCCGGTTAAATCTTCTTTTGTTCTCGAACTGCAAAGGTGTGAAACACCCTTTTACTTTCTATCCTACCCCCGAACTTACAAACCTAGGCTTTTTAAACACAGAGTCAATAAACTGGATCTTCTTTCCTTTTAACAGTATGCTATTTGTCTATGGGAATTTCCCCTTTTACTGTAATTCACATTATTTATGGTAAAAATAGTCTCAGGAGTTGCATGCAACGACTTCCTGCCGAGGAACTTTAAATGGCCTATTTCATTTACAGGTATTGACCAAACTCGTGCAACATCCTGATTTTCATTGCATTTGTTCCTCTCAATTCTTTATTCTTCCAGCCTCATTCACGGGATTGAATATGCTATTGCCCCACATCAGATGCAACATATCTGATATAATATCCACTTGTGTCACTTCTTCTACTAGCCACATGCCATTAAAATGTACAATTTCGCGCTTTCAACGATTTTTGCAAATGCATCAGTTGTAAGATAACAAGGTTACAGTAGAAAACCTAACTGTAATTTATTTATTAAAATGACTCAAACACTTTATACAGGTATTGAACTTTCATCTCGTCCATGTTCCATTTGCTCCTCTTCAATTTTGAGCACTGGAGGCAGTCTCTTTAGGATGGAATCCACCAAGTTAACTGCCAAACAGAATTTGCAAGTTTCGAACTACTGCAAATTTTATAGTGACACTCAAGGTCGCGCACATTCAATTTGACATTGAAAGTATGCTATTGCAAGCTGAAATGGGTTTCAAAATGAGGGTGATGTTGCACGAGTTTGGTCAACACCTGTATGTTATTCACAGTTCCCCAAGATGATGTTTGTATAAAAATACCACACACTACCGTCATCTATCCAACTCGCGTAGATCTCTGAACCGATGGTTGAAAAGGGAACAGAACATTTCCGACACCTTGTGATGCATTACTGTACAATTATGACGATGTGCCCGGTAGACTCAAAATACAGTCGTATTTTTTGTGAACACCGACATATTTTTATCCGAGACCCAGGAAGGTGCGCTTTATTTGCTCAAATAACTTTTGTGTGGTCACCATGGTCACACATGAGCCGTGTGGATGCTACCTGAATTTGCTAAACATTGTTTCTTCCCTCAATGAACAACTGCTTATTTCATCGCACCGTTCCAATTCGGATAGCGGATGATTGTAGACGAGGCCTTGACTCTCTCCGAGTAAGTATGTTTAAGAAGTATCGAGAAAGGTACGGTGACCAGAATGCGTCTCACCAAGAATGTTAAATTAGACGAATACTGTCCCAAATTGATTGGAACTGACGATTTTATGGGCATTTTTCAACCGAAGTTGATGAACAACATATCACTTCACCACTACATTCTTGTGGATCTAGAGAAACGTGGTTGAGTACCAGTGGGAATGGAACGGGAACAACCTTGAAACAGCCATTCGAATCATCCGTGCTGTCAGCTAGTTGATACAGTGGCAACGCACCCTATATCCAGGCGATAGCCTCCCGGAATTGAACTCCCTGATTGGTCGGTGGATTGGCAGATTTTGAGAGACTTTATCGAGAGTAAAACTGAAATCGGATGGGTCATTGAACGAACTAGGGCTTGTACATGAATTTGCTGTTTTAGAGGTGGTCAGGCAAAAACCGGTGACACGTTCCGCACAACGCTACCCACAACTAGGCGTGAGTAACGTGTTGAACAAAGACAAAAATGAGAAGACCTGCACTGGTTGAACACATTTCAAACTTGTCACAGTTGTTCTCTGCGAAATCCCTGGCCACGACCTTTCCATTCTATGTTTACATTGTTTAATTTGCCAATCGATGCTCATTTTGCAATTTAATTGATTGCAAGCTGGACGTGAAGCCACTCAGATGGAATTGCTTTGATTTATTCGCTTACCTTAGCGTGGAATTATGTATAGATTATTTGGTTCGGATATGGTGTGTGAGATAAGCCGATTACAAGTTCATTCTCGGAGTTTTCTAACAACTGTAGGAAACAATTCACACGACAGCAAGATCAAAGGAAAAACCGTCGAAACAGAACTGTACTGCACCTTTTCCCATCAAACTAGCCTTGACCCACATCCGAAACCCGCAATGCTTTAGCCAAAACCCTCTAGTCCTTTAGCCTCGACGCACAAACTTCAATCATACCGCTGTGAGTGAGTCAAATCAAAAAGCAACGGAATAGTCTGATGTTAATTGAATGTGCAAACAAAATTTTCCACAGACGTTGATTTTGTAAAGCTCAGTTAAGAAATAAGAAGGTATAGGAATCGTATGTTGCATCTCATGTTGATTGGACAAGGTTTAAACAATGTGCCTGTATTGTCAAACGATTTGACACATCTCGTACACAGCTTCAGTGTTTCCCCGCAACATGCGATAATCCGGTGAGTAAAAATTTCAAATGTAACAAAAATGGTACAGTGTTTTGCAATCGCAAGCCTTGAAGCAAATCAAAACGGGATATCACACACACAAAAAAAATGTAAACGTTTACCGTTCCATATATCAACTCAAGGTGAACTCCGCTCTGAGATGTGGATGAATTAATACACACACACAGAGTTCGCAAAAGCCCAACGCCCGCCCGCCCCACTTTAGCACACCGTTTCCAAAAACAAGCCATAGACAAAATTCGTAATTCTTCAGCCTCCACTGTCGCAGTGATGTCAACTGTTGCCGCGTTAATAAACTAATGATAGTTATGTGCACTTTTGTGAACTGTGTTTGTTATCCTCAAAATATTCATGTATCCGTTAACTTCAGAATATTCCGATACTTTTTCAGTTGACTCGCTCACGGCAGTGTACGACTGAAGTTTTTGCCTCGAGACGAAAGAACTACCGGTTATGGCTGAAGTATTGTGGATTTTGGTTAAAGGGATATGGGATTTGGGCTAAATTTTGGTGGAAAAAAGGTAAAGAAACGAGTAAATAGCACCCGAGAAGGCCAACAAGTGAGTGAGTAAGCAAGTTGAACGTACTTGCACAAAATTTGGCATGGTTTTACCGAAATCATTGATTCATTCTGTACCTACTTTGAGACTGACTTCTGTTCAGTCGAGTTCGGTTCTGTGTTACCCAAGCTTCGCTGATAACTCCTTGTCTAATGTTTGCTTGATTAACCAAGTACGTGCATCATGGGATGAACATACTTTGTGCAACACAAAACCCGGTAATTTTATTACACCCTGGGTGTCCGAATGAAAATCACTCCAAAGAAACAAGCAATTTTCACAGATAGTTCCAACATTGTTCGCCTCAGTTGATTAGTTGTTGACTGCTAATGATAAGTCGATCGGGAGCGGCATAAATCTCATGTTTACCAAGCTTGACTTTTCCCTCAAGTCTCGCTGTTCCGTTTACTTCCGAATCTCATCAAAAGATTCCGAAATTGAGCAGCGCATAGCCAACAAAAAGCACGATATCGAGAACCACTGAAGTTGATGGGGATAAATTCTAATCCCGAAAGATTTCTCAGATGAACTGTTTCTGTTCGAATGTAGCAATGCTGAGTGCCTAGTGATCATTTCATGAACAACCAATTATTCACCAAATACCACCCCCAAAAAAATATTTGTGGTGGAAATTTTGAATTGTAAAATCCATGTGCCGTTATTTCACTGATCTAGGATAATCTACAAAGAATGGAGTATTGATGACAAATGGTATTCTTATTATTCATCAACCTGGGATTGATAGGTAAAATAGTCTCACTAAGGGTGAAGGAGGAATTAATCTGACGAAGTACCGGAATAGAATCAGAGGCCCACAACTTCCAGAGACAGTCAATGGATCGATCGATAAAAACCTAATATGTGTTCACAGAAAGCACTTGGAGACATTATTAGTTCTACACTGTTATTTTATCAGAATGTTTCCTATCACCAGCCTCCCACCCACCTCTCAACCCCGGGATGTATGTAAATCGATTTTGTTTTCTGAAGTAAGCAGCAGGTGAAATGCGACAACAATTTGGAAATTTTATGTTCTTTTTCTGTTAAATTTTATTGGGAACCGATTGTGCCTATGTCATTTGACCTAATCTGTTCTACTGATTTTAAATTACTGTTTATTTTATTTTTATTCTGTCTCTCAGGTGTTGTGTTGGTTGACATGTCACATTCATGCACACTTACTTTGTATATGCGCCGTTCGACGTGGAGACGGTGTTGTTTTCAATTGTGGTATCTCCTGATTGTTCAGGATCCAGGAGAAATTCGGCGGTGGACTGCCACCCACGGCAACGCACAACACAGTGATACGAAGTATCGGGTCGGGTTTTGAGATGATCAATTGTTTGTCAGGCGGAGGGACATCTGGATACAAAATACTTGGCACGGACGGTTTGACTGTAATCGAGAACAAATGGGGTAGCAAGCAATCAGTTATCATCAAATGCACCTCTTATTGAACAAACAATGTCTGCCACACAATTTTATCGGCACGTAAAAATGAAATTGGACAGAAAAAGCAAGTGCCTTGCAATCGATAGATTGCGTCATCAGTTTGCTGATTTGTTCGGCACGTTGACAACAACGACAACAAGTAATGTATTCACAATTTTGTTCAGTTCACGGCAATCAAGGTCTGAATCAAAGGTGCGAAAAACAGGTATGAAAGTACGAACAACAACACGTAACCAAAAAGGGTAACAGGTAACCCCTACATGAGAGAGAGGAGAAGGGTAATCTATGAATATCCTAAGCGACGATCATACCAACACCGGGGTCTACCGGCCAAGTTAACTAGCTCACATTTCACAAGTTCTCAGGTCTCCGTAGTTAAAAGGATCCCATAGTTAAACTAATTTCTAGGATTAGTGATTCAACCAGCTGTGACAAACTTGTATTATCAAATCATTGGTACCTTTTTTATTACACACATGTGTGCGGTGAAAACTAGATATCATAGTCACGAAGACCTGCTGCTCCGTCATGGAAACCGTTATTTTAAACCCCGGGACCTAGAGTGGTGAACCACATAAGACCCCGCCGATAGGTTAGGCGTGGTATTGAACCGGAAGACAGCAAAGCTGTCTACCACCAAAGTTGGGTGACGGTGGCGGGGCTCGAACCTCGAGCTATAGGGCCCGAAGCACGTCATCACCACCTATACATGATGCGTCCGATTCAAACATTACGTCAAAGTGAGGCGTATCCAATTGTAATGGGTACGGTTTTGGCTCGTGAAGTATGAAGCATCATTGTAGAGCACAGTAATCCATGTATCGGATACGAGAATGTCCAGCTATGCAATGTCAGTGGATGCCCTGATTCATTCAGTGAAAAATTTGTCCTATCTTGTTTTAATCACCTCACATCCTATACATCTGTTCATTGCTTATTCAAATGAACTCCTTGAAAAGTCAAAGTTACTATTTAAAAGAATCTCATTAATAAGACACGATACTTTCTCATATGTACAATATTTAATTGTAATGATCTCATTACGTTTCCTACCATTGGGCCACGAGAACAAACAGCCGGTACCCCTTTCGAACCACAATGAACATATATATATGAAAACATTAATTACCTATCTTGTGTAACAATGTAGAATAAGAAGCATCACCTATCCTAGCACTATTAATTATATAATGATTAGTTTTATTGTTATTAATATGATAGGAGTGGTGTTAGTTGTGGTACTACACATGGAAAAGTTTATCGATACCACTATGTGAAAGTAATTAGACAGTTATTCGTTTTCAGGCCATGAATAAACACATTGCATAACCACCCGAAACTGATTTGTGACGAGTTGGGAATGCTAGTTGAACAAATGCGTCGATAGATTGAAGACATTCCGTTTTGCGCGTGTGTTTCGAGGGCATGTTATCTCATCTCACTCTCTGTACATCACCTAGTTGATGTTGTTTTCACCATCAAATAACTCGGGTTTGGATAGTAGACAATCGTTTTTACAAAATGGGGAAAATCGGGGCATTGAACAGGCTAAGAAATTCACTACCAGCTGCTCTGTGTGCTCTATCAATTTTCCACACTCAGATAGAGTGAGTGAGTGAGTGAGTGAGTAGGAGCATCTGCATTGTTTTCGTGATTTATCTGCTATTCCTGGTTCGCATAACCTCCACACCCCGTTCTCCAAGACAAACTCAGAGATCCTCTTTCCTCCCGCCCGCCCGCCCAGCCGGCCGGCCGGCCGACCTCACCTCGGTTAAACGCATTTCAACCGCACACATTTATCAGAATAGAGAGAGAAGGACTTGCATGACGGTTGTGGCGATTTGAGGTTTTCATCCGCAAGTCAGAAATAACTCGATTCTCTGGCCGTCGCAGACACACACCAGCGGATCCGCACCATCTTGTGCGACGGGGGAATGACTGCGTACACTGTCAATCAGTCATCTTGTCTCAATTCCACTTCCTTGATTCCTCATCTACCCCACCTCAACCCCCACAGGTCTTCACTTTCGCCACTTCCCCCGCCGTCCGTCCGTCCGTCCGCCCGTTTCATGCACACACTTAGTATGCCGTTCATATTTTGACAGATTTGCTCATAACGAAAGGGACTTAGCGGAGGGTGCACACCTCGGCTAACACAAGCACAAACATACACGCAGAGTTAATCCACACTCATTGTTTCCGTGTGTACGCGTCTGAAGTCAGGATTAGGCGTATACAGCAACAACAAGCACGACATGGGAAAGCGCAAATGCAAGTTCTGACAAGCCGGATTGGAGCATATCAATCATGCGAGCCCGGCTGGTGCAGCAGCGTAGTTGCATAATGGACCGGCGCATCACTTGTGAGATTTTCCCAGTCTGGATTTCAATCGAAGAAAATATAAGCAGACACTCATACCTTTATTGTCAATCGTGCACGTATGTGTGTGCATGTATGCTTGTAGTGTGCTGTAGTCGAGGCGATTAAGTGATTATGGCAAGCCTTATGCGGAAACGAAGCATAGAGACTTGGCGTGAACGAGGATGCAAGCGATTGAAAATTAAGACAGGTTAGAACGAATGGAGGACCATCGCGGTTCAGTACGCGAAACACATGGGCAAACTGTGAGGCTATCAACTTGATCATTTTGCGGTATGTGTTTGCCTTAGGCTTTACTATTTATTTGGATACCCGTTGCAAACTGTTGCCGAGTCTGGGGACTGAGACAAATTCGGACGGGGGTAGGAGGACGAACGAATGGTACGGCACTAGCAATCGAACCGTACTGGACGAGTGACTGAGCAAGTACGTGGGGCAGGGAATGATCAAGCAGGTAACTCTAAATGAACCACAGACTTCGTCAGGTTAATTAGAGGCTAGAGAGAAAACCGAACGAAAAAGACATACGGGCCAATCAATTCTAATTAGCAAACAGTCGTCTGTTGTTGACTGAGTCCGTTCGTGCCGGTTCCTCCTGGTGTGTGCACACACGCTTGTATGCGCGCATCTGCACAGGGCACTATTGGGCAATGAAGAACCGAACGAACTAAATACGTTTGCGTTGAATAAGAGACAGGGAGAGTACAGGAAATCAGTGCAGAGATGGATACTAATCGATCGTTTGTGGCCAAAACGTTTAGTTTCAGGCTTCTGTCAGCTATTCTCAATACCGGTCCAATACCGGTGGTGATTTTAGTTGTGTTGGTGGCGGTGGTGGTAAAATTGTGCGCGAGATTAAAATAGATTTAGTCACTACTGGCGAGGGAAACACAAAATAGACTCGAAACTCTTCCAAAAAAACAAATCAGCAGCTCTTACACCCGCTCACACCTGTGCCCAAAGAACCGAAGTTTCCGATTCCAACTGAGACACACTATTCGAGTTAAATTGGTTTGGCGTTTGTATTCCACCCGGTACAGGGTGGAGTGGGGTACGGGGGGGGCAGAACTTAGTTGGGATTAAAGTCAATCCGATCGAATAAACAGAACTCAGTTGTCCCATGTGTAGTATTTCCGGATTGCTTGTAAAATTAATCTCCATTAGGTGCATCTGAAGGAGGTTTGTTTTAGACGTTATTTGCTCAGTTGGTCGTTGACGTACTTCTTCCCCACTCCATCCCTCCCTCAGTCTTTCTCTCTCTCTCCGGTTTCCGAATACTCATATAATGGGTTGCAGCATTCACCAGTGTGATCATTTCGAAGCGTCTATCGGAGGATTGTAAACAACTAAAGAAACGCATGATTCGCCGTCAAAGCGATTAATTTTATGGCTCGAAAAAAACCCATCTAAACAAAAATTGCATAAATGTTCATTGACCGTTTGCATGCGTGCTTCTATTCCACACTGTTTGCGCATGTGTCCATAACGATGGATGCTTGTCGTACAGATTGCAATCCATACTGTAGTAAATGCGTCTAACTTGGGCACGCGTAGAATTTTTATTTGCAATTCCTTTCTTCAAACGATAAAATTATATCGGATCGTAGTAAAACATAGAACGGAAAATTAGGGACTGGAATCTGGACGAGCCGATTGCGGTTCATGCGCAAAAGTTGATCGGCCTGTTAATGTTTTACCGATTAGATGTTTTGTTCAAAATCTCATTTAACAGAAATGGTAATGAAAGACCAAATCATGTCATATTGAATGGTGGATCAGCAACGTCAAGCGGATCCAAGAATAACAGCTTGCTAAAATTTCCGATGCTCCACAAGGAATCTTAGAGCCAACAACGACTTGCTTTCATGATGCTAACGCGAGAGAAATGAATATGTGCGATTGGATTCATAGTGTCTTTCCCATCACATTTACTGCCATGACTTTATGAACGACTAGTTTGGCAGTGGTTGCTCCATGGTTGTTTACAGATCGTGTTGACATGAGGCAGTTCCACAAAAGCACACTTCCTAAATATTTGTGATTTTTAAAACAATAAGTTTGTTTTAGCACAACTCCCTCACCCCGTGATTTCCATTCAACCCCCTCTCTCTCACCACCAACAAATATGCAGCGTGATAAGTGAAAATAATTTGAGGAAGAAGATGAAGGAATGCATTGACTATTGGTATACATATGCTTGTCTATCTGGTTCCAAATTCTGTGAGCTTAAAATGGAACTGAGATGATGGCGAGATAAGACAGATCACATACAGATAACAATTCATTGTTACTGTCAAACAAGTATGCGCAATGCACAGATTGGAATTCCTTGTGGGTTTCAATGTGGATCCGTATCGTTCCGGTCCGATCCTTTTTATCAGTTGGAATAATGGAATTTGGAAGCGCTTCTGCCCAAACCACTGAACATACAATGCGAGGAAGGAATTCAGAGAACAGTGGTCACGGACACTGGGTTGGTATGTGCGAATGCTGTCTAATTGCTCTCCCATCTTTGAACCTTTGGGAAGCGATACTGAGCGTCATGGAAATGCAGATTTGTCACAAACACAACTTGTTTCTACCATAATTTCGATGTCAAATTTTCTAGTCTCACCTCCACCCCTCTCGGTGCTCTCTCTCTCCCTCTCTCTAAGACATTCCGATCGCTAATACATATATACATTCGATGATTTTCGAGCGTATACTTATCTCTTTTGGTTTACCGAGCACCGGAGTCCATCAAGCGACATCGGCTCGGTATTACGGACTCTCTCTCTCTCTCTGCATTCAGTCTCACCGGGGGCGACAAAAATACATGATAGCGGGCAATCAGCGATGACTCAGCCAATTTGTGTGGATCGAAATCCAACATACTTTGTTTTGAGGACACTAAGGAAGCACACCAAACACAATCAAACATCCGTGCGACTCGGTACACGATCAGAGTGCCCGATGCAGACACACACATGATACATCATTCCGTCATGGGACAATGGAACAATGGAAATGTGAAAACTGTAAAATAGAATGTTTTATCGCATGCAACAGTGAGAATTAACCGTAGCGCATCCCTCTTACTCAGCACAATCAGCTCTGTTTTGCGACGTAGTAATGGATGATTGTTTGCTGGTACCGGCGTCACCTGACACTCGTATTCTCCGGCATCTTCCAGTTGTACGTCCATAATTTGTAATGTGTGTTCCCCACGTCCCACATCTCCGATAATTCGATAGCGTTGATAGCCAGGAATGGATCGGTCGTAACCTGTGAATAGGGCATGAAATAAAAGTGGAATTAGCTCGTGAGCATACAAGCAAACACATACACGGTCGACCAAGTCCACTGCAATTCCACATCCAGTTGAACTACTTTCGGTTGGTTACCTTAAAATTACTTACAAAAGAAAGCTGCATCAGACCATCCAATCCAATTCCGATATATATATGTAATCAACAGTGTGGTAAATAATCGGGGAAAAATGCTGCAGTCGTCCGAATGTTGCAAACGAGAAATAAATGATATCTAGACTGACCCCATTTTTAGTTATCATAAATAGCTCGACCGATAGCCAGCGGCCAAAGCATTGATTGAATTCGTTCCGAATCAGGGTTATTATGGGTTATCGCCTACAGTTTCATCTGTCATCCGCTCGGATAATTCAACTCCCCCCCCCTCAGTGCTGAACTAACCCCTGTGCAAAAGGGAATAAGCATTTTCAAGCATAATACAATTCTCCCGATATGCAATGATCTAGGCTTATTGCGGTTGTCTGTCTATATGGCATAAATAACCATGGTTATGAGGTCGAGCAAAGCAACGATAATATACACAAAGTTCATTTGTTTATTCGTTAGAGTTTTTTTGTATCTGATTGTCAACAGATCTACAATATGGGAATACGGGATTTTCTTTCCAACCGAACGGATTATCGTTGGTTGTAAGAGTGGCGCAAAGCCCGATCAGCAGCAATTGGTAGCAATCAGGAAGGGTTGAATGTACTGTTCACCGATATAGGCCGTTGTTTTTCGGCCGTATGAAACGAACTCCATCCTTTTATATATAAGTGGTGCAAACTAGCTCTGTTGTAAACACACACACACACTCTTTTAAAGTTTATCTCGGGAAATAATGTTTCAAGACACGTTCAGTTTAAAACCGCACACCATTTGCTTTAATTTCGGATAAACCTGTAAGGTTAGAATGATAAATAGATGAACAAACAGAACCAATACGGCCAAAAACGCAGTACACACTGTAAATGGAAGAGAACCGAGTCCGTTTCTATCAGGGAACTATTTTGGTTTCACGTATTGTTGTTGATATTATTCTCGGTAATGGCGTGCCTCGAAGATAATGCATTGCATAGGATAACGCCACTGAATGAACTAACCTGCATAAATACTAGGTTCCTCATTACTTGAGGGTGGCGCACGTAGCACGTTTTATTAGGCCGTTGGACCTGAACAAAAAGGATCGATGTACTGGATTGCGCAAACTATTTAGAAATGTTCATCTTTCCATTTTTCTATTTCTCTGGGGTCTATGGAACAATGTTTTGTATTGAAGGGATCATTTTCAAATTGAACCACCATGGAAAAAACGATTAATATATATATATATATATAAACAGATAGATAGATAGAT